TCCAAAGAGGACATGCAAATGGCCAATAGACATATGAAAAGATGATCAATGTTGCTAATCATCAGAGAAATGCAAATTAAAACTACAATGAGGTATTACCTCAACCTGTCAGGATGACTGATCAATAAATCGACAAACATCAAGTGTTGGTGAGGATGTGGAGAAAAGGGAACCTTTGTGCACTGCTGGTGGAATGCAGACTGGTGCAGCCAGCGTGGAAAACAGGATGGAGTTTCCTCAAAAAACTAAAAACGGAACTGCCTTATGACCCAGCGATTCCACTTCTGCAAATACAACCAAAGAAACCTGAAACACTAATTCAAAAGAATATATGCACCCATATGTTAACTGCAGTGTTATTTACAAGAGCCAAGATTGGGAAGCAGCCAAAGGGCCCATCAGTAGACGAGTGGATAGAAAAACCGTGGTACATTTCCACAATGGAATACTACTCAGCCATAGAAAAGAAGGAAATTTTACCTTTCCTAACAGCATGGATGGACCTGGGGGTTTTATGCTAAGTCAAATAAGCCAGTCATAGAAAGACAAGTACCATGTGATTTCACCTATACGTGGAATCTAATGAACAAAATAGACTCATAAACACAGAGAACAGACTGACAGCTGTCAGAGGGGAGTGACATTGGGGGTCTGGGTAAAATAGGTGAAGCGATTAAGCAAAAACAAAAAAACAACAACAGCAAAAAAACAAAAAAAAAACCCTTATAGACAACAGTATGGCGATTACCAGAGGGAAAGGGAGGTGAGGGAAGTAGAAGGGGATAAATGGGGGTAAGTGGGACAGAAGGAGATTGACTTTACATAGTGAACACACAGTACAATATATAGATAATATATTGTAGAATTGTACACCTGAAACCTATGTAATTTTATTAACCAATGTAGCCCCAATAAATTCAATTGAAAAAGAAAATCCTCATCTACACTAGGAAATAAAATAAAATGTCTATAGTTAGTACGGGGTGGAAGTTGAACTGTATTTGTTAAACACATGAATAAATGAAGGAATGAATGACTTGGGTTCTCCTGACATTCTAGGTTGTAAAACGGAAAGAGAAGTTTTGGGAACCAGTCAGATTAGGGCATGGACCCTAGTTCTGCTCCTTGCTTCATGCTTTTCTTCAGGCTTCTGTGGGCTCTCCACAGTGAAAAGGAAGGCAGCCCAGAGAAATGTCTGTATTAATTTCCTATTGCTGCCCTAACAAATTACCACAAGCTGAGTGGCTCAAAAATTTAAAAACCCCACAGGTTTATTATATTGCAGTTCTGGAGATCAGAAGCCCAGAACGGGTCTCCCTGGGCTAAAAATCTAGGTGGTAGCTGTGCTGTGTTCCTTCTGAGAACCCTAGAGGGAGAATCATTTCCATATCTCTTCCAGCATCTAAGGTCACCTGCATTCCTTGGCTCATGGTTTCTCCTATGTTTTCAAAGCCAGCAGCATCGCATCTTTAAATCTCCTTTTGACCCGCCTCCCCCACTCTTCCATCTTTAAGGACGTTTGTGATTACATTGGACTCATCTGAATAATCCAAGATAATCTTTCCATCTCAAGTTCCTCACCTTAGTCTGCAAAATTCCTTTGCTGTGTAAGGTATCATGCTCACAAGTGCCAGGATTAGGACATGGATGTCTATAAGAGGGAGGGGTTTATTATTCTGCCTGCCGCAGTGACCATGCAGCCGGTGGCTACACTTACCAGATTGGTCCAACAGTGATGGGAAGCATCTCCATGGTAACACAGATAATACATTAAAAGTGCTCCCAGGGAGCACCCTCCACGACTGGAGCAGTGACTGGTTGTCTTCTTGAAAGGAATCTAATTCTGCCTGGCGGTGACTCACTGGTCTTCCCACTGTGAGGCAGTGGAATAGTCTGGGTTTTCCTTAGGTCTCCTTAGATTTTGTAAGACAGGGTCAACTCCACCCTAGCTTGCTTGAGTGTTCATATACACAGATGTGCACTTGGCCAATTCTTTCCTCTTGTGGTATCCTTGAACTCAGTGCTTCACACCACACATCAGATCTTGGGTGGGAGAGACACTATTCAAGGAGATCCACTCACCTGACAGATGGGCAGTCCAACCACACCTTTAAACCGGCCACAGATTAAGCCAGACTACTTCCTTTCGGTCCCAGGATATTTGCTTTCACTACATTTTCCTTTCCTTTGGTGCTATTAGACTAAACTAGAGATACACCTTAAGAAAAAGCATCAAGGAAATAGTGTCATTTACTGTAACAGTTTTGTTAAAGATGTTCACTTTAGCATATATTTCTTGTGAGAAATCACTGAGAAATATTCCCCAAGTCTCAAAACCCAAGAGTAGTTATAATTCCTGTAATAACTGGGTTTTTTTCCATCAAGTGCATACTAGCTCACACAGCTGGTCATTTTTCCCTGTTTGTGCACAGTATCAGGAAGCCAAGTACCAAGGCTATGGGCCATCTTCAGCCAAGCTTCAGGACGTTTTAGCATGCATGATGTGTGCCAACTTACTTTCCTACCCTCGTTGTCTCCTTTCCCCAGTTCCTTCACCTGTTTCACATTTTAGTTCTTACTGCTGTAATGCCTATAAGGCAAGAAAAAGGCATAGTAAAAATTTTTATTTCTGGAGATTTTTTTGCTAGATACATGCTCCCGACACATTCCTCTGTGTTCCAGAACCAAACTCAAATGAAAAATATAAAAACATGAAACATCGTCAGTGCCAGTGTTTAAACACTGACTCTCAGCAGAACTGGATTTAGTACCATTGTAAAGACTGACTGACGCTTATGCTTATAGTATGAAAACAAGTCTCTTATGCTTTGTATGCTGAGCACACTAAGATCATAAACGTCAGAATTCTAAATGGCTGGCTTGCTGTTAGCACATTAACTGGCATTAAAATCTATTTCCTTTCGAAGGGATGTTTAGCTTTTATTATATCTTTACTCGTGGTCAAAAGACATTAGCAAATTTGCTAAAGTGATTGAAGATATTTCTCTTAAGGCATTCCTAAAGTTTTGTCTCTTTGCCTTTCTGTTTTTTTGTTTTCTTTTGTGTTTTTGTATGTGACCTTGCCTTCTCAGAAAGCTAAAACAGAAATGTGCTATATACTATGCAGGGTTTTGATAATTGTAAAAAGCCATTATTTTTAAAAAATCAATGTTAGCATGACCTCCAGAGAAGATATCTTCAAGGCAGACCCAATTTTAAGAGTTCAGTCTCTTCAGTCATCCAACCACATGATCACCAACACTGAGAACCTCTCAAACACTATTAGACAGTATACCAGGACCTTCCCTTATTGTCTAACCCATAGAATCCAGAACATAGTATGTATTCAATAAATACTCGTTGAGTTAATGTGTAATACCTTGCACTCTCAGAAAGACTGGAGTTCTACTCCAACCACAGTAGACAGTGACAGGAACATAGTGCTTGCCATGTGACAGGCATGCAACATGTACTGAGTGACTGTCACTGAGACACATCCGAACCATGGAAGAATTTTTTGCCACCTTGGAATTCCAGAGCAGCAACTTTTAGTTCCAGTACGTCCTCCCTTGTCAAAGACCTACCTGACAGATGATGTTCACATGTGCAGCTACCCTCATGGATATACTTATGTGCATGTCAAATTCCCGTCACACTAGTACAATCACAGTCTCCTTTCCCACTCAAGAAAATACATGAAAACACAAATGAATAAGGATGTCATTAATATGGGAACAATCTCGAATTCATGGCAACTTACTGAAAAATTAAATAATCACCCACCATTTTGGTATTTCCAATAGTAGTAGGACAGGACTGTGAGGCATCTCACAGTGACTGACAGAAGCAGTTCATTATAATACCAAGACTGAGAGTGTTTCTTACAGAAACCACCTTTGAGACCTACTGAGTCCTAACATGCCACGAAGCTCAACCTTATTCGCAGCACAATCATTTATGCAACCTCCTCCATCCATGTGAGCATCACCAGAATTATAGAGATCATCAACTACTAATGGAAATAACTCACAGGGGAATTTCATTGTCACTTGGGTATCACTCCACTTTCACCATCATGACCTTGAGGACAAGGACATAAGCAACCAACTTACCACGCCGCCGCCAGCCGAGTGCACGAGCACAGACATCCCTTCTCGGAGGTTGGCAACTTCAAAGAGCATCATGTAGGCTGTGACGAAGTTCATGGGGAATGCGGCAGCCTCGGAGAAGCTCATGTCATCGGGGATCTTGTAGACAAACTCCACTGGCGTGCAGACCACCTCTGCCCAGGCATTATAATTGACAAATGCCATGACACGGTCCCCGATCTGGGCATGGGGAAGCACAGGGTTAGTGGAGGTTTCTTAATTTTTTTTTTTTGAGGCATTGCTCAAAAACTGAATAATCTGATGTAGTTTGGGAAGACTCCTTCCCAGAAAAAGAAAACCAAACCCTCAAATATGCACACCCTCACTTGCCTCCAGATTTCAAGGCATTTTTGGATGCTCTGAAGCCCACCTATAAATAATCCCAGGGGCCATGGAAACCAGGTTCATTACTCCTCTTCTTGTGCATAAATATACAGTGCGGAGCACATCACACACCATAGAGTGTTACTGTCAGGAGGTCATGTTACTGACTCACCCCCGCATCTAATCTCTCTGTTTTGGAGCTGAGAAAAACTGATCCACAAAAAAGGTTAATGTGGCAAGGTTGGAAGTAAAATTGACTCTTGTCTGTTCTTTGCCACCCCATGTGGATGCCCTGACAGGCTAGTTCACTGTGGTATTTGCATCAAAGATATCACTGTGGACATGGTGCCTCAAAATAGCCATGCAAATCTAAGTGCAGGAGACAAAGAAAACCAGGCTTGGCGCCAAATAGGAATATGGCACTAGGTGTGAGAACGACTACCATTTACTGGACAGACATTATACAGCAGGCATTGTGCTGAGAATGTCACATGTTTTAATTCATGGATTCTGTACAAAACTATAAAGGCATGGCAGAAGTCTGTGTTATATTTGTTGGTAGTTTACATAGCCAGACACCGTGCAAAAAAAAAAAAGAAAGAGCAGTCTTCCCTTTAAAGTGGTTATGATGGTATGCTACCTTTTCTTGTCGCATGTCGTTACTGAAGGGAAATACAAATAAGTGAAATAATACTAATAACTTGTAGGAGCTGCAAAGTGCTAGTTAAATTGAATCATTCTGCTATTAATGTTAGTGGCTTGTACTATGACTTTCAAATGCAACATTCAAACTGCTGCGGTTATAATAAATTCTCAATAAATTAATGGCTTTCATATATGAGTGTTTTAGTATATAAGTATGTATATGTTTATAAGTGATTCTGTTTTAATTTCTTTGTAGCTTAGCATTTCTTTTCTACCCTGTTCAACAAACAACGAAAGCCTCCTATGAGATGGGTTCTATAAGAATCCCAATATTACAGATGAGTGATTGTAGATTTTACATTTATATCGATGCAAACAGAGGTTACAGCATAGGCCGAAAGTCATGTGCCTAGAGAGCAGGTGCACCAGGATTTGAATCCAGGCAGGCTGACCTCAGATAAAATAATTAAGTCATTACACTTGAGATAAGTGCTACAAAGAAGACATAATGTTGTATAAGGGTACACAACAGGTGAACCTTCCAAGACTGGGAATGTTTAAGTCTTTAAGCCTCAGTTTTCTCAGCTCTAAAATTGGTTATAATATTAGGAAAGGTGCCTTGTAAATATTTAATAACATAGTATATATGCAATGTACTTGGAAGTAGGCACGTAAAATGAGAAAAGAGCTATCAGTGTAAACTCTTAAAAAGAACAGATTGGTTTCTGATCGCAGGGAACTCCCAATTTAATGCTCAAAAGCTAAATACAGACGCTTTGTACTTTATGAAGCCGAGAATAGCTGTCTAAGGAAGAAGCTGGTAGCATGGAGGAGCTGTCCGGTCGGCAATGGGGGTGTTAACTCCTGGAAGTGTTGAATACCAAATGATAAATGTCGGGAATATCCTCTTACCTGTGATGGCTTGGACCAGAGGATCACTGGGTCTAACACTGGCATTCCCTTTTGCTCAGAATCATGAAAACCCAAAGATACAGACTCAGCACCCCGGAGTAGCGGATGGCCTCCAGTGTCAACACAGAGTGTGACACTGAGTATTTCAGCCACCTTGACAATGAGGGCCCCCAGCCATCACAGCACGCTGCCTGCCTCCACCTTCTCCATCTCATTATCAAAAGGACAAAAGTAGCTGCTAAGCCACTGACTGGATTAGCCCCAGCCTCAGAGTCCAGGGGTAGGCAACTTGGAAAAAAATTCCAGTTCCTTTGGTTTTTTTGATTTTGTTAAAAAAAAAAAATCCTGGGTGACTGAAACCAAATTATTCCTTTACTGCTGGGCTTCTGGCAACAACCTTTCAAACTTCTTTTGCAACCGATTGGCCAAGAGACCTATCCAGTGTGCTGCTGCATGGAATTCCCTCTCTCATGTGAGTGAAAGGCTAAGTCAAAATTCTGGACAGAATATTAGTAATGGTTTTCTCCCAGATCACACCCTGACTGGAAACCTGTAGGTGGCGTCTTTTATTTGTGCAGCTGAAAGTCACTGTAGGGAAGTGGAGGTAAAGACTATGTTTAACAATATGCAAGCCAGAGCTAACTAGCAGAAGGAAGGTCATATATAAGGGAAAAAATATATAATCAAGCACAGTATGTCCTCTGTCTAAAACAAAGCCAACAACATTCCTGTCTACTGTTACATCCTAAAATAATAGGTTACGTATCCAGTGCTCAGAATAGAGTTAGTAGTGTGAGCATTTCCTTTGGGACCACATGAAGGAGTGAAAAGTAGACAGCATTGCGTCTGTGCAGCACCTTCAGGGACAGGTGGTGCTGCCTCTTGTTCCATTGCAACCAGGGCGCAAACATGCAGTCACACGAAAGAAAAGAAAAGGCACGTTTACTTGTTGCTCAACACTTTTCTGCTATATAATCTGAAAATATTGACAAAAAAAAAACAAAAACACTGATGGATGAGAAGAGATTTCCAGACATTCATCATAATGAATTTGAAGCATATTGATATTTTCAGAGTATACCGAGCTCAGATGCACTGAGACTGAGCAGCAGGCTCAGACTTAAATCCAAGGGTGTTTTGGCATCACATTGTATAGGATTTTTCTTCCTGCACTTAGTATTGCAGCATTTGCAAGTCGGGAGGGAGGGCAAAGCTCCTGGAATAGTGAAAAGGCCCTGGTGACTTAAATCCAGGTTCAACTACTACTTACCACTTTTTGGACCTCACAGAAAATTAGTAAACCCTTCTGAACCTCATCTCTAAGGAGACAGTAACAAACTTAATTTTGCAGGGTGTTGGTGAGGCTGAAAAAGCAAAACTTGCCCTTGTTTCTGGTTATAGTGGCCCTTGTTTCTGGTTAGAGTGGATTCTCAAATGTTAGCTCCATTCATGTCCCCTGGGGAAGCACTTAGTCGTAAGTGAGGGCTCTTGTACCTAATTTCCATTGGTTTTCTGACTTCAAACTATTGCAATTTTGTGTGATTGGTTTGCCTACAGTTTTTCCGTTTTTATAGACTGGATTCTATTTTATTTGCATTATAATGGTAAAAAAAAATCCTGTATCTTTCCACTGTTTAAATTTTTTTTATTATGGAGAATTTTGAACACGTACAAAAGTAGTCAGAGTAATATAATAACCTTTTTATCCATTGTCCTACTCCCAAATCCATCAATTCATGGCCTATTCTGTCCTATTGTCAGACACTGCTACCCTGTGGCTTTAAAGTTTCACCCCAAAATGCCACTTATAAATGACCACTTAAATTCATCACTTAAGTAGAATATATCTATTAATAATATGATATTAAGTAAGCATCAGCATAAAAGGAATCAACAAAAAATATAGAGGCTATTTCTCCCCAACTTTTGCCTTTTGTAATTGTCTTTTTGAGCCACAGGTGATGGGAAAGTGGGAACCATGGCTGGGAGGAGGGGATATGTCACTTAATTAACCCAAGGCCCCATACACTCACCTGACAGCTGTATGACATGAATAAGGGGATGACAGCATTTCCCCCACCACCAGACTCTTGCCAGGAGCACCAGGATGGTACATGAGAAATGCCTGGGGCATTTGGAAAGTGCTATAATTTATAAACATTGTTGATAAAGCCAAACAATAAGACAGCAATAACAGTACACATTATAGATGATGTCAAGCACTTTTGCATAACCTCTTACTATACTAATGGATTTCAGATATATTACTCTTTTATTAATATTAGCCTGTCAAAAGTCAACACATTACCTCGTATCCTTTCACGCTGTCCCCCAGAGCTTCAACAATCCCCGAACACTCAAAACCTGGCACCAGGGGAGTCTTGGGGGGGTTGTCGATATTCCCTTGTCGCACCATCAAGTCAATGAAGTTCAAACCACTGTGATCAGCAAATGTGAAAAGAGAAAAATTCAAAATGAGAACCCAAAGCAAGCACTGGTCTGACTTTTCTTCTCTTTCTTTCCCTACCCCTCCCTTTCTCCTTCCCCTCATTCCTCTCTCCTTTCTTTCTATCTTTTTCTTTCTGGAAAACTTTGCCTAATAGTAATATCACTTAGCTCAATGTCACCAATAAACCAAAACTCAATTACCTCTACAGACAGGTAATACTCTCCTGGCAGTTAAAACGGCTGTGGCAGAGTTTACACTCTAATTCAAAAGATAGCCCCTTCGCCCTCTCTCAGAGCCTGCTTACCCTTGCTTTAGAAACACATATTGACTACCTGGTCATTAGCCATTCTAGCACTTAATCATGAGTAGAAAATACACTAGGAAGAAGTTGTGAGAAGACACATGGAAAGCAGCCAGACACAATGGCCATCAGCCAGCTTATGAGAAAGAGAGGAAAAGAAAAAAGACCTAATTTAAAAGGTCTCTAAAGAACCGTCACACCTCAACCATCCCACAAACTTACTCTTGCACTGTGCCATAAACAGCATCTGTAATGGTAATGAAACATCAAGAGATGATATTATGTCCCGCTGGAGGAGGGTGACTCAAAGAAGAGAGATCACAGGGATGGACCATGGATATGGAGATACTGGGGGTTTGTTTCAGAATTGTTAGGTATCTCTACATGAGAGGAGTTAATTGGTATTTTCTATTAACATACTACTTTTAGAATTAGGATGTTATCATTAAAATATGTCAAACTCATTATCTTGGGAACCCATATACTTGATTCTAATGATGCTATCAATGCTCCAAACCATATATATATATATATACCATTTATATATGTATAAACCATTTATATATATAAAGAGCTACAATTGGGAATTGCATTTAATAACCATTTACTTATCAAATGAGAAAACACATCCCACTAAACCTGTATTTTTTCCTACCAGATGTGGTTGTAATAGACTTCCTGTTTTTATAAACCATCATCTAAGAAGACTCAGGTTATAAACACCAAACTCCTTGATCTGACCGATTAACATCTGACCACAGCGTCTTTTCCAAGCAAGACATCTTGAACTATTTCTTAAACACAGATTACTTATTTCTTTCTTGGCTTCTTTAGAGCCAGGAAGCATCAAAGGCCACCTGGTCTCAACTCATCAGTTGCATCCAAAGAGCATGGGTGTTAATGAGGAGGACAACCTCCTTGAAAGGGGCCTTCAAGAATCACCATCTCTTCTCAAGGTTTTTCCTCCCCACCAATCACGGCAAGTTTCACACATTCTCCCACTGCAGTACCTCTGATGTATGCCCTCCTTGAAGGCAACCGTGTGCCTCATATTGCTTTGCCTCCAGAGCGCCTGGCACAGTAACATAGTAGGGAGTCAAGTAACATCTGACAAATGAAGGAATATTCCTGAGTATTCAAAAATATGTGCTGCCAGTGTGCATACTAACTGCTTTTCAAAAGTGGCCTAGGGATGCTCAAGAAAATGGACACATTTCGGAAACGTGTGTGTAGGCTTGCAAAGGTCCAACTCTGAAGGTTAACAGTCATCAGGGTCATTTATTAATCAAGTGTTCTCCAGTAACATGGCCAGTTTCTAAAGAGATTGGGGAGTCGTCGGCACAAATCCCAATTTTATCACTTCTACCTGTGAC